TAATGGGTAGAAAGAGAAGTAGAGAGGAAGAGTAGAGGAGAAATGGAATTAAATGAGAACAGTGCACCCTCCTTACTAAATCAGGACCCTGTGCACCAACAGACTCAAAAACAACGAACTGATGTTGATCACATTTCTTTGTGGGGGCCAGTTTGAAGAGAGTGCTATGCTGGGTTGTGATGTCACCTTTGATATGACCTTGGGTCACACTCAAGAGTCCCCTCACCCTAAATCCAGTCTGGGGATATCTATCTCCTCAGAAATATCTCCCACCAAGACCCTTTCCCTCCCTTCTGCAAAGCATTTGATATCCATAGGGACTGAGGGTCAAACCATAGCCCTCTGTAGTGACCAGATTCTTTCTGTTCCCATCTCTTCCAGGAATTAAAACTTGGTGTGGATTTGCAATCTATTGAAATGAAAAGAAGGGTAGGATGTATTGAATGTAAATTTGAGGATCTGCTCTATAAACCTGTACTCAATTCACATTCAAAAGTTAAAAAACAAAAATGAGGGAAGTTTCTTTAGAACTGAAGTGTGAGGAATCACATGGTAGAATTACTACAAAGATGTGTGAAAATTTTCTCTTTTGTGCTTCTTGAAAAGAAGAGTTATTCTTTTTAGAGTGTGGGGTGGTAAAGAAGTAAAAAAGGAGAGCAAGTCTGAGTCTACAAGAGTCAAAGTGATTTGCTTATTTTAAAAACTGTGCTTTTTATGTTTCTTAAAATAGAATATTAGGAGAACCATGGATTCGTAGGATAAGCCCTGAACTGCGAACCACAAGCTCAACAGGTGACCTGCAGAAGAAAGATGAGGCTTTCTACTCCTGCAAAGATGTTCAGCCTTGGAAACCCTATACAGGGTGATTACGTGTCAGAACCAACTAGAGAGCAATTAATAACAATAAAATATTAGAGTATAAGAACTTTTATTTTAGGCATTTATATATCTTTCCTACACTAAATCTTTTTGTTTGTTATTAAGGTCAGTCTTCAGAAATTTAGGGAGTGAAACAGAGAATAAAGAAAATAAAACAGGCCAACTTAAAAAACAACAACAACAAAGAATGGTTGTGAGCAGGGAAGACAGACTCACACCAATACATGTTTCCCCATAAAAAATTAGGAAGATCGGGCAGACCAACCTGGAGTGGCTAGAAGAAAAGAAGATACTTCTTGAAAGAAAGGCTGACAGCAAAAATACAAAGCAATATAGTCTGACCGACTGATTACTACAAGACCAAGCAAGTTGCTCGCCCAGAAGACAACAAGGCAAATGGTCGTGTTCCCTCAGAGCAAGCTCCCTTCCAAGACTAAGATTCAATGAGAATGTTAGGGTCCGAGACCACCACCCAATAAGGAGACCAAGAGACAAAGATAATGCAAAAGCAGGCGGGCTTTATTCAAGCTAGCATGCTAGGGTCGAGTGGCAGCTGGCAGTGTAGTGTTCAGCAGTGTTACAGCAGTGTTACTGCATCAGCTCACCAAAGCTTGACCCCAAGCAGTTCACAAACCGCACCTTATATAGGGTTTTGGGACACACCATGGGAGGGGGATATGCAAACTAGGATTACAACTTTTACCCAATGGAGCATTCAGAAAC